CCTTAAAAAGTTGAAATAGGTAACAGATGGGACTTCTCCCGCAAAGTTATTTCCTGCCTCTCTAAAGCCATAGCTAAACCCAATATGCTTCATGGAGTCCTCGTCTAGTGGAATGCACTGGAGAAGACTATGCTAGCCTGAAAGCTGGAGCAAGTACAATGGGCTGCCCCCATAGGAATTATTGAGGCACTGGCCTGTCTATATTACGGATAAGGCGGCTGCTACAAGGGCTGCAGTTTGGCTTAGAGGCACCGGCTGCCTAACTAACTCGGGATCTGGACACTCCTTTATTATTGGAAGCTTCGATTTAAACCCTAATAAGACGCATCACTGCAAGACTAGCCTGGTACCAACTAGCTAGGATGAGTGGACGAGGGGCAGTGGTAGAAAGAAGGCACCGGTGAACTTTTACATGAATGGGTCGAAGCTTGACAGAAAGGGCGGCAAAATTGCCTTTTTCGAGGAACTCAATTGCTGTTATAAAGGAAGCAGAAGATTAGTTACTGTTGAGCGCGACGGTGGTAAGGGGAGGTTAATAAATATGTATCTACTTAGGAGCTCTCGGCCCGCTTACGCTGCTTTCGAAGTCGCGTCTGAGTATTACCTTGACAGACTTGTATGGGCGCCAGGCCACAGCGATATCGCAGAAAACTGCGTGGCTGATGTGTCGGCCAGGAGTGGCACCTTCGAGCAGGTACCACAAAGAAAATAATTAGTGGCAATTCCCTTTATTATTTGTGTACTTTTCTCGGAAATATGCGAAAATAAAGGTGGGCGTGTTATAAGTCCACCTAAAAAGACAGCCACGGATTCTAGTAAATAAAATCCTCCATCCCAGTCCTTGGAACTTATTAATTTATCTTCTCCATGCCCTCAGGCATTGGAGCCTCCGATATCTAAAGCCATATCCACTAGGTCTACTTCTAAAAATAGTCAAACCGTTGATTTAACAGTGTTGCCATCAACATCTCAAGCTCCACCGTCTTAGTTCCTCCGAATAATTCGGAGCCCCGCACATCAGACATCATTACCAAAAAGTTGGTTGTAATTCCTCCGAGAAGATCAATCTTTGTCTCTAGATTTGCTAAAGATACTTCTTCGGATGATATAAAGTCATATATATCGACTAAAATTAGAACTAAAGATGTATTTATTCGTAAATTTAATTTTAAATACGATCGCGGTATTTCATCTTTTAAAATTGATGTAGCTTCCAAAGATTTTGATTCACTACTAATTAGTTCATTTTGGCCGACCGGGGCGTTTGTTCGCGAGTTTGAGTATAAACCTAATAAAAGTAATAATAACGTAGCTAAAATTTCGAATCTTAATTCGGATTCAAAAAACTTACTCGCAAGTCTAATTTAAGTATTTACTATCAAAACGTTAGAGGTTTGAATACCAAATTAACTGACTTATATTTGAAAGGTTTTGACTGCAATTATAATATTATTTCCTTGACCGAAACATGGCTCAAACCTCATATTTTTAATTCCGAAATTCTTCCAAATGAATATCAAATATACAGGAGTGACCGCGTGGGCAGAATCGGCGGTGGTGTTCTTTTTGCGGTGCATTCATCGATACCATCCGAGGAATTTAGTCTTCCCGTCATTGAATATACCGAATTTAAATGTATACGTGTACAGGCTGGAAAGACTTATATTTATTTAGCTCTTTGCTACATCCCTCCTAATTCTGCCGTATCAGTATATATGCAGCTAGTTTCTTTACTTGAGACCGTAAATGCAATGCTTACGGCATCCGATTCTATGATTGTTTTGGGCGATTTAAATCTGCCACATATTTCATGGAACATCATTGACACCGATGTTGTACCAGTTTCATCTAGAGATAGTTACAATGTATTTCTGGAGGAAATGGCTGAACTTTGCCTCAAACAAATAAATATATGTCCAAATGAGTATGGAAAGGTCTTGGATCTCTTTTACGTTGATGATGTTCCGAAGGCCTCTATTAATCGGTGTGATCCCCTAGTTTTGCCTAGTATAAATTCAAAGCGTAAGGCACATGGTTTTCCGTCCGCTACGCATTATCGCAACACTGTATCTAGCGACAGCCAACTCATTGCCAACATGTTTGCTCGGTTCTTTAGGTCCAATTATTCTGTAGACTTCCCTATAAGTGGAGACTATCCGTACGAGCTTTGTCCAATCAACTCTGCTTATATTCCAGTAATATCTTCCGATGAAGTTTTACACTCTTTAAAAACCTTAAAAGCGTCATTTAGGCCTGGACCTGATCATATTCCGACCTGTTTTCTAAAAAACTGCGCTGAAAACATCTGCGAGCCTTTAACAACTCTATTCAATTTGTCACTTAAACATGGCGTTTTTCCGTCAGCCTGGAAGGAGTCTTTCATAATACCACTTCACAAAAACGGCAGCAGGTCGTCTATAGAAAACTATCGAGGCATAGCGAAACTCTCCGCTATCCCCAAATTATTCGAAGCAATTATTGTTAACCAGCTGACATATTCTATATCTTCTTCAATTACACAATCTCAACACGGGTTTTCTAAAGGAAAATCTACTATGACTAATTTATTGGAGTTTACAACTCATGTCTCAAACGGTTTTAGAGAAAATGCTCATACCGACGTAATATACACCGATTTCAGTAAAGCTTTTGACAAAGTATGTCACTCGTTACTCATCCGTAAACTCGACCTAATCGGCTTTCAGCCCAGTCTTCTTCAATGGATCTCATCTTACCTCTCTGATAGAACACAAAGAGTTATTGTTAATAATTGTTCTTCCAACATCATTAAAGTTTCTTCAGGAGTTCCTCAGGGAAGCCACCTTGGTCCGATTCTGTTCCTGATATTCATTAATGATATTTCTTCTATAATAAAACATTCAAAAATTTTAATGTATGCCGATGATGTGAAACTTTTTAAAACATTGTCCTCTATCGAAGAAAGGTCTTTGTTACAAGCGGATCTGAACAACGTGGTTAGTTGGTGTAATACAAACTATATGCCACTAAACCTTCAAAAATGTAAAGTTATGTGTTTCTCTCGGAGGGCTGTTCAACCAGCTGTTTATTCAATATCAAATTATAATCTGGAGCAGGTATCCAATTTTGTCGATCTTGGTATCACAATGGATTCCAAACTCAATTTCAACCATCATATTAATGTTACAGTCAATAAAGCCAAAGGCGTTTTTGCATTTGTAAGGCGATGGTCAAAAGAGTTCAAAGATCCTTATGTTACAAAAGCTCTTTTTACCAGTTTAGTTAGACCTATACTAGAATACGGATCTATTGTTTGGAATCCCCGCTACCAAGTTCATTCAGAAAGGATTGAATCAATTCAAAAACAATTCTTGCTTTTTGCATTGCGTAATTTTAACTGGGATTCAGATTACAATCTCCCCCCTTACACAAGTCGTCTAAAGCTCATAAATTTGCCTACACTCGCAAGTCGTAGAGAAATGCTGGGTATAATATTTATCGTAAAATTAATGACAGGCTTGATTAATAGCCCGGCCCTCCTGGCTGAGGTAAATTTTAATGTTCCTTCTCGAGTGTCAAGACACTTTCGACCTCTATTTTTAAAGCCATGCAAAACTAATTTTGAACTAAACGAATCATTCCGTGATTTATGTCAAGATTTTAACTGTCATTCCAGCACGTTTGACGTATCGGACTCGATTTGTACTATAAAGAAAACTATTATTTCCACTCTCAATAATTGAAATACTATCTTTAGCATATCCAATCAGCTGATGAATTTGATTCTGTAGCTGAATAGTTTTAGATCTCGACACTTAACAAACTCCTGTTTCCACTACTCGGCACCAAAAAACTAAAAAAAAAGGTTCCGTACGTCATGCGGACTGCGCCCCTCGTGTCGGTTGGGCGGGAATGGAGGGTAAAAAGCCGTTGGGATTAATTAATTAGTGTCAATTTAACGAACACTGGGCGAACAAAATCAGAGCATGTTGCACGGCAAGGTCTTCCTGTACAAAGTTTTAAAGCTGATGCCAGATAAAACTTTGTAGCTTTGCGTGACATTTATAAATTTGCCAGCAAAGCGCCAGACGCAAAAGGTATGCCACAATGAACGCCAAGAAATCAATTTTGCACTGCTTTTTTACTCGTCAAAATTGCTGTGGATTTAAGATATTTTGCTTTAAAATTATCAGCAATGTAATTGAGTTTTATGTTTCAGCATGAATACTCGAATTTGGACGAAACAAAATAAATATTAAACCGGCTGATTGTCAAAGCGCGCAAAAAGATGGGAGTTGGCCATCTTTTCGCTTCGCGCTGCAGCTTCAATGATCTATGTGGCATGCTTTGTGCATTTTCATACAATTCATCTTAGCTGTCAAAGCGAATCTGTCACGTAAAGCGAAGCAAACGTTTTATGTGGCATCAGCTTAAGAGTGGTAGTCTCGCAAAGCCATAGCTCTCAATTCACGGCCACGTGGAATCAACTGAACACTTCCTCTTAGACTGCCCATATTTGCAAGACTGCGACGTAGGCACCTGACCGGAGAAGCACTCTGGGACCAAAATCTGCCGACTGCGAAACTTCTCTCTCGGAATGCAGCGATTTTCGCTATAACCTAGCAGTTAACGTTCGCTGTGGTATTACAAAGGATCAATGCTCATGGTCTAAGTATGCCTCTTGTCTCTGGGCAACCACCTTAACCTTACTTAGCATTGACATATCACGGAAATTTTTTATGGGCGTTCGCGGCGTTTTTGATGGAAATTTTGATAAACATATTTTTGAAAATGAACAAAAAATAGCAAGAAAACCATGCAAAAACATAATTGGGATAGAAGCCCGCGCAAAACGAGAATTAAGTGTTCTTTGATATTTTTCTGTAATATAATCTATTTTTTGTGGCATATTTTTTGGCGAAGTAGTTATGTATGTCAGTAGTCATTTCAGCGAGTTTCGTCATTGTATCTTGGGTAAATCGCAAAATATCTCATTTAACATATTTGCAATATTCTTTCAGCGCGCGTCGTACACCGCCACGCACTGCTCCGCCCCCACCACCACCGCCCGGCATGATGAACAGGTTCAGGCCACGTTATTAAAGCAAATATTTAAAAAAAAAAATAAAATAAACTAAATTATACTTTTCTAAACATTTACACACTCACCTTTTTACAACATTCTATATTTTATTGCTCTATGCATGCCATCAATTATGCTGTACTCGCGCGCCAACAATAACAACGAAACTTGAAATTTTATTTTCTAACTCCTTCAACATAACCTCTCTTGGTCACTTACTTCAGGTATGGCAGCGTGCGCAGTGTACGTTGGAATGCCGAGGAGGATATGGTCTTCGAAGATGTCGATTCGCCAAACCCAATCTATATGAATCATCAGCATATGCGTTAAGAAGGTTGTGGCAGCGTTTGCTCGAAAGCTGTTCCACCTGCCTGGGTTACAATTTATTTGCCGTCACTGTATGCACGATAATGCGTTCTTTTTTCGCTCGCGCGTTTAATCGACGATTTTTTTTCTACAAAAACATCTATAAATTTCGTATGCGTTTTTTTCGATTCAATTTTATAGGTTTAAGAAAAAGTACATATTGCATCTTTAGTATTAAAACAAAAAAAACAGGTTAAGTAAATTTGCAAATAGTTTTGAGTAAGTCGTCTTCGGAATAAATTACTATGTACTCTAAGCGATTTAAATTAAAGAGCAATCATTTCTTTTAATCCCTGCATATTGTTTTCGATAAATCAGAAGAGCAAATTATTAAATTTCGAATGCATCTTTTAGGCGCGTATAACATCGTAAATCGTGTCAAATATTTCCCTACTCTTATCAGGTATCTTTTAACTAATTTTCTATTTTTGTATAATTTTGAAAATAAAAATTTCAGTTATTTTAATGTTATAACCCTTAAACAGTATATCCCAAAAAAATGTACACTGCTTTTATTAAAAAACTTAAATTTATTAGTAAGTAGATGGTAAACCCTTTCAGAATTCCGAGCTTGAACGTCAGAAAAAAAGTAATTTAACATTAGTATTTTTTTCTTTCAGTTAAGTTTAGAAAACTAGTCGCCGTATGTACTGGAAAAATAATGATTGATACAATAAATTATTTTAAAACAAAAACCTATGTGTTTTTAAGAAAGATTGGTTATAGTGAGGTTTAAAAAAAAAATTATTGACTATGTTTTTATATAAAACGAAAATTACAGCTAATATAACTTATTCTTCTTCTTCATACAACTCGTCTTAAATCTTACGTAGAATAGTTCTCTGGGAATTAAATATTTTTCAAATGCCTACGGAGTCTAAAGTTGTAAAAGCAAAAGTCTATCGTAAGACAATTGTCAATTCTGGCAACTATCTTGAAAGCTCTTACAGCCTTTTGAAAGACAATTGAAAGATCTGCTGCTCTCCTTTTAGAAATAAGTTTTTAAAAAATTAAATTAAGTTTAAAAAAATATACTTTTTTCTTCTTAAAGTGATAAAAACTAATCAATTAAATTAAAGCAAAAATAAATAAAAGATTTTTTTTAAATTAAAGGTGATTAAAAATAAAGGTATATAAGTTTTTTTTTAATAAAATCAAATTAAATTAGAAAAAGAATAAAACTTTATCAATAAAGAAGAAAATAACATTTAAAAATTAAATAAAATTATTTAAGGTATTTTTATTTGTAAAACAAAATCTTAAGGTGAAAAGAATATGAAATTGAAAATACAAAAAAATAAAATAAAAAAATAAAAATAAAAATAAAATAAGATCCTAAAAATTAACTGAAATAAAAATAAAATCTTTTTAAAACAGTTTAATGTAAAAATTAAAAAAAAAATATTAAATTAACACATGAAAAACAAATTCAATTAAAAAAGAAATAAATAAAATCATTGTCTAAAAATTAAATTTAAAAAATTTTACTTTTTTAAACCATAACATCTAATAATTAAAATAAACTTAGACCAAAAAAGAGAAAAAATTTAATAACTCCCTAAAAATTAAATGAAATAAAATTAATATATTTTTGCTTTCTTTGGAATCCCACGTCTGTGCTTTGCCATCCCACGTCTGTCTGTGCTATTGCGACTAAATGATATACATGTGCTTTCTCTCAAAATAGCTTTTCCCCACGAGTGGAGAACTTTTGTCTTACGGCGGATCGTTTTAGTTCAGAACTTTTCACAGAGAGAGAAATAAAACAGCCACATGAAAGAAAAAGTTCAGAACTAGAACAATGAATTCGCCTTAAGACTTTTGTGCTACAATAACGAAAGTCTTTGGAATTATCTTGCCATCTATCTTTCAATTGTCTTACGAAGGACTTTTTACTATATATCTTAGCCAGAATTGTCCTGTACAGCTCTGTATTAGTTTTCCCGGCCTACCAGATTCAGACATGGCGTCTTAGAAGCGTATTATTCTTTACGCGCTATCAAAGTCGGCTTTTAAGTTGACCCTCCCTTTCGTCGCATACCGTGTTGTTATCTGGGTTATTTTGCAAAATTTGAGGCCACAATTATGAGACCAGATCAGTTGGTTAATAAAGGGCTTCAGCAGGACAAAGTAAACTTCGCCACCAACTTTGAACAACTCAGCCGGTAAGCTGTCTACCAAAGAGCTTTGTTATTTTTAACTCACAATATTGCTTTTCTTGACCAAGTTTAGTATAGTTCCTGTACTATGCGCTCCGCTCTCCAGGGAACTATCACCGGTCTTGAAATAATTTGATTGCTACCTTTTTTTCAGATACAATTTTCGATCCGCATTCCAGTCTGCCAGGATCTCAAGTTGTTGCATAAAAGCCTTTCTATTTCCTCATACGCAGCGTTAAGAAATCATTGGAAGATAGAATCACACTGCTCATTTACATATATTCGGAAGTTGCTTGTTTAGGCCGAGTTGACAGTCGATTGCAAATTTTACGGGGTCCCCGTTGTGATTGTAAAAGGCTTTCGCCAAGAGCTGAAAAAATTGCTTCCCTGAATGCCTTCTTGAAGGGCCATTCCTGTTTGCAATTTACGCAAAATTAATACATAAGTTTATATTATTTAGCATTGCAAATAAATCTGAATATACATTTTAAGTTGCAACAAAAGGTATTTGATGTAACACAAGCTCGGGAATTACTTTCAGTGCTGTCGTCGGACATGTGCAGCATTTTTTCGCATAGTGCCTACAAAGATCGCTAATGGTCGTAATATCATTGTATACCAAGGTTCGCAAAAATTACTTCAAAATTCAAAAAAAAAATCTAATTTCAAAAAAATGTTCGTCAAGTATATGTATATATCCTATATGAATTCCTCTCCAAAAATTCTCAACTAGTGTAAGATCCCACTTCTGATTATATTGGTTGATCTGGTATTCGTATTCGATTAACTAGATTTAAATAGTTTGCATTTAATTTCTTTTTAAAACACGACCTTTGGCAGCCGTTTAATAGTTTCTTTATTATTTATTTGCTTTGTTAGACATAATATAAAAATACAATTTTAAAATAAAGTCGTTGGTGATATTTAGTGTGGAAAATTGTAACAAAATTTACTAAGTAAAGAATAATATTAAAATTTTGACACCTCTTTGAAGAAAGTACCTAAATTTTTGATGGAATTTTAAACGTAATTCTTAACTTACATTTTTCAAAGTTAACTTAAATACTAAAATAATAACTTCTTAAGTCTAAATTAAATATGAGATGAAAATAGAATAAAGAGCTTGTTTATAAATAAATGCTTCGTCCTGGCAGTTATGGTTTTTCGAAATAAATGCGTGATATTAAAATTGGAAATACATATACTGGCCAACGACAAACATAAACTTTCGCCTTTAAATATTAGTCAAAGATGCTTCACAGCAGTATTTTTGTTTGTTTGTTTTTGGTAGAGAAAACTAACCTAAATTTCAAATTCTATTTTTATCGCTTGTCTTAACCAATAATTGGCACCTTCTTTTAATACAAAATTTAAAAGTTTGAAAGCACACTGATTTGGCACCAAATTGTTTTTCACTCTAAAAAAAAGTCTTATGTTGTTTGAGATGCTTTTTGAATACAGTTTTGCTTATGGATGAAAATAATTATTTATGTGTATAATTACTTAATATGTTTTTAAGTACTTAGCTTAACTGCTAAGTTTTTCTTTTTACTCAGTATATAAAATAGTGAGACACTGTGTCTCACATGATCGTTTCATTTATTCTAGGTTATCTTTTTGCACTCTCTCTCTCTTTGCTAAATGATTTCATTTAATATATTCATTATTCTCCTCCTGCTTTTATCTAGAATCTTCCTATATAATTTCTAATTAAATGCAGTTCTTTAAACATGCCTTTCTTGCCATCATCTCAAATACGTACATATGTATGTATGTACTATTTCATAACATATTTACTTTCTATCAAAGTGGGCTATTCAACCTGCGTTCTAATTTTCTAGTCGCTTTCAAGCTCATTAATATGTTAATCTCGATTGCTCTTTACACTTTCTTCTAGTCCTCTTTTTGACTACAATTTTCTCCCATCTTTTCTCTATTCCCTTTATCTATTCTTCTTGAATCTACACTACCCATTATTAGTCACACCCAACGAAATCGCAGTGAAATATACAAAAATATATTAAAAAGTACACAAGTCGGTAGGAAATCGCTGCAGTCTCGATCTCTAGCATCTTCCTCCTCTTAGCACCTCTTTTCGCACGCCATTTTCGCAGACGCAATCTCCTTTCACCTGGTCAGGTAACAACATCCACACCACCGCCCTCACCATATTCCCTTTCATCTATACTCAACTCCGCCTTATAGGCCACAGTCACAGGAAAGTTTTTATGTAACGGCGATGGCAGAGACGCTTGCTTTGGATTGCTAAAGTCACGTAACGTCAATACATAATAACCGCCACCATTGTCGATAGTCTGGAATTGAGTAAATGATTCATTGGCAAAGAACTGTTGCGCCTCGCTGCCATTAAATTTGATGCATGATAGCAGCTCGCGATGCGCGATCGGCCCACGTTTCGCCGTCCAAACAGCATCCGTTGCCACCTCACCGCAAACACCATCAACGGGTGTAACATCTGCTGGCGAACGTGTATCCTTATGCGGCAGCATTGAGACTTCCTCGAAGATGCTTGTGGGTACAGTTCGAACCACGCTTGCGTCGACTGTTTCATCTGTTTCACTATCTGTTGTGCTGCTGTCAGTGTCCGCTGAGGAAAAGCGTGAATTATTCTTCTTCTGACGTGAACTTTCTCTCACCTCAAGCGCATTGTTTAGCTTGCAAGCTGCCATTTGCATGCTCCACCAACACATTTGCTCCGCACAGCTGACAAGTACGTGAGCGTTAGGTGAAAAACGCATATCAAATATGGGGCAGTGGTGACCGCGGAGATAATAGAGAAATTCGATGCATTTGGCGGCAAGTCGGCATTCATAAACCTAAGAGGGATACACAAAGGAAGCGTTTGATATATGTGTTTAAAAAACACAAGAAGTTTATAGGTACTAACCTCAATTCGTACATCAATTTCACCATTACCATCATCTTCATAACAGGCAATAGCGACTAAGCTGGCATCGCGCGACACAGCCACACAACTGACTTTTGTCTTAGAGGAGGCACTCATCGTGCCGAAATGGATAATCTTTGGCTGTTTTGGGCCCAACGACTCAGCGAGATCGAATATCTGCAAATGAAAGGGTAAAAATAAGCAATTAAATTCATGAAAATGCATTTACATGGAGGAAGTTTAGAGTGTGTTTGAGAAATGTAAGGAGTGTAGAACATACAATTAGTTTAGTTAAAGTAATGATTGCATCATTTGCGTGTACAGTGCATAAATATATTGTGCACAAATTTGGTGTACTTTAAATTAGAAATTATTTAACGTATTTGATTAGGTTCGATTAGACCTGGTTAGAGATTGACCTGCGAGCTCCAACTACACAGTTTCCGCAAACAAGGGCGATCTATTGTAACAAACTTCTTCTTTTATCCGCGTACCTTTATGGTATCTGGCGTGCCTTTACTGAATACTTTTTATTTGGATAGGTCATATGTTTTTAGGTACGAAGACCCTAAAAATAGAAGCATCAGTGTGGTAAGGGCTACACAGTAGCAAATAATATATTCTGTGATTTCCCGTTCCTCACGACACAAGCTGCACTGGCTGTAGCAAACAATGCCAAGGGTTGACAGGTGCTTCATTACATTTTGTAAAATTGCCAGTAAGGCCTGTAATTATTCTTGCTTCGTGCCTTGTAAGGTGAACGAGTGCTTTTGTTACCCTTGTTATTGTTGTAGCGGCACTAGTAAGCCCTGCCTAAATCAACTAGATGTCGTCAAGTCCAACTAACGGAAACATACTGTTTCGACAAGGTCGGACCAACGGGGAGGGGTGTTAGCTAAGTGGATTTAAGTGGGCAGGTAAAGAGGTGTTTGGTGAAATGGGTGTGCCTTCATAAGCCCGACATACGTATGTTTGCTATAGAGGTAGAGTCTGGCTAAATATGAGTTCAGTCAACTGCAGTATTCAGACTTTAGTTGAGCCAAAGTTCTCCCAGTTTATATTTCCGGTTGAATGTGTTTTAAAAAGGTTACATAGATGGAACGAAAAGCAGATGTATTTTGGGAGAAATTTTCATTAATGCTCTGAAGCGTTACAGATCATGATTTCACAAAAAAAATTGCTGTTTTCCAAAACGTATCAATACAAAACATCAGTCTCTTTTTTAACTCGTTTTTATTAGCTTGGAATGTAAGTATGTAATAATGATGCGCCTAACAGATGCTGCGAAAATTTTAGCGAATGATTTCGCGTGTTATTCTTTTCGTTATAACAGTTTTTAAAATCAATTGAATTTAAAACTAAAAAGATGAAAATAAAATTATAGTTTAAAAACTGGCTTTTATTACAATGTGAACTAAAATGTAAAAAATAAATAATAGAATTACAGATTTCGTTTAAGAGGATTCGGAAGTTCCCTAACTTGATTTAATTAAACTTTTAAAACCAACCTAAAATAGGGTTTAAGTATTTGACAATAAAATTAATTTTACCGGAAAACAAAGCGTGGGGTGTTTCTTAGATTTTATAGTCCTGCTATTGACAATACTCAATATTACTAAATTGAAAATCGAAAGTTCAAAACAATTGATATCAAGCACCCCAGGTTTTGCTTTCTAGTAAAATTAATTTGATTGGCAATCACTTTAATCCTGTGTTAGGTTTGTTTTTTAAGTTTAATTAAATAAGGTTAGGGAACTTCCTATTCTTCTTAAACGAAATCTGTGTTTCTCTAAATTATTTTTTACTTTTTGTTTCACATTGTAATAAAAGCGTCTTTTTAGTTTTTTAAACTATAATTTAATTTATTTTCAATTCAAATAATATAGAAAATTCTAAAATGCGCGGTTATGTTTTGAATTGATGCATTTTGGAAAAGTGTTTATGGCTTATCGGCTATATATGGGATAGCTCTCTTCCAAATACTGACATGAGCATGGGAAAAATTTACTGTAGTTTCCTCATTTTACCACTCGGTTTTTGTTGACAACGGCGAATAAAGCATTGAGATGCCGACTTTCGTTCTCCATCGATGATATATGCAAGTAATAGACGAGAATTATTGGTTAGTAGCCGGTTAGCGTAGTTATTTCGTTGCTCTTAGATATCACGCTTATTAAAAAAAATTAGCAACGCGGGCAAAAACAGGTGCACATATTATATACGAGCACATACATAGATCACATATGTACTATACATACATCGTTTTGTAGAAATATATTTAAAAATCATACTATTTATCTAAAGCTGCGAATGCCAGCGATTAGATCAGGTTGAAAAGATAGACGGAGTAGGGAGGGCTACAAATTTGCTAGTTCGCCAAATAGTCCAGCCGCAAAATACTGTTCACAAAAGTTATACAACCAAAATCATCACCAGCCATGCATCGGAACAAAAAAGGCTGGAATACAGATAGACGATTAGAAAGTGTTGATGTTTAAATGATAAGAATAGAAAGCATTGATGCTCTAATATTTTTCCTAGCCATTTTTTTATAATTTAACCATAATAAATAGTAAGTATGCCAATATTTTCGCGTCGAATAACAGCCGTATAATTTTACATTGTGCCCTCACCTCGATTCTATAGTTTTCAGTAACCACAAACAGTTGGTTGTTTTGTAAATCGCAATCCCCAATGCTGCGCATTGGCTCGTATTTATTTATCAAACACGCGGACTCATCTAAAACCTGTAAGGGAAATTTTCTGGATGAATACAGTGTTCGATATTTGTCTACATACTTTACGTACCCAAAATACACAGCTTACAAAAACTATCAATATGCGTCCAGCCGCCAAACGAAAGCAGCGCTTAATTTTTCCATATTTCAATATAAATGGTTTTTGTTGGCCAGTACTAAGATCTGTGAAAATGACTAGCTCATTATTGCTACCAGCAACAAGCGTGTATTCGTCTAAAAGCTGTAAAAACTCGATCGGTTGATTCTTAAAGGCCGAAGTGAATAGAGGTGTAGAAGTAGTCAAATCAAATAGCATGCCATTTACGCAGCCAACTATCGCTTGCTTGCCACTTTGCGTAAGCGCAGTGATGGTGTGGGGTAAACGCGGAAATACTTTGTGACCATCATTATCGATTTTATGTATCTATAAATAAAATGAAAATATAATTGAATTGTATATTAAGCCGGTGAAAATGTTTTAGTATCATTATTTACCTGATTCTGTGAATCCACAGCCAATATTGTCGCCTCATCATACTCATATTGCACTGCAAATAATTTGCCACCCTTCAACCAAGCATCGGGCGCCATGTGGAAGTCTATCGCGTCACTATACCGATCACGCTCTCCCAATCGAGAAACTGTGGCACGATGTGACCAACCGAGAAGCGTACCACCACTATCATCCACCCGTAATGCAAATAAATTCAAGAGCTTACGCTCATGTGAACCGCATGCCACCATATACTTGTACTTGGCATTTTCCAGCGGATGTACATCAACACACGTGATCTGTTCGTTAACATTTGTAGTGAGCACTCTTGTACGCATTTCAATGTCGAAGATAATCAGTCCGCTATTTGTGCCCAAAACGAGTTGTTTACGTCCATTGATAAACAACAATTTAGCACATTTTATGACATTCCCCTGATCGTAAGCAGTCAAGTCATCTTGATGAAGCAGATATTCCACATGTCCCGTTTGCAGTATTGAACTGCTTGTAAATCGAACAATGCAAGTGTTGCAAACTAGAAGTGTCTCATTCCGCGATAGCTCGATGGCTTCGATGAAGTTGGTGAATGGTTCAAGACCACGTTGTTGCGAATAATCTGTGACATCGAAAATACGTACTTCCCCTTTTGTATTGCCAACTACATAGAATCGACGAAAGATGAGGCGCACAATAGTTATAGCTCGCATTTCAGTTTTCAAAAACGGTGTCGATGTAGAGCAAAAAGTTTTACTTTCGCTCTTCCACTGAATGTTGCTGATTTCACCATTCATATGCGCCATATATAAATAGGGTTGTTTATCATTTCCTTCATAAGAAAGTTCAAATGCGGTAATTGGTTTGAAAAGGTAGGCTCGAGGAGTGACGTTGCAACATTCAATTTCTTTGGCTTGCGGGCGTGCAAAAGAATCAGACTGTAAAGAGAAAAAGTAAAGAAAGTGATCTATGTACGCATTTATATTGATAAAAATTCGGATAAGGTGAAGGAATATTTTGTGCACGCACCCTTCGCCGGTCCGTACTGCAATCACACGGTATACACCAAAATTTCATATCACCATTACTGTATAAGGCTAGTACAATGTCGTAGTTATTGTCAGTAAAAAAGAGAGCATCAACTACGGTTGTTTTAACTAACACCGGATCCTTTAATTTAACTGAATATGAGTTCCAATTCAGCGATGTGTTGACCAGCAGTATAGTCTTACTTTCCTCCAGTACAATCAAAGAGCGTTCATGATCAAGTAGTATAACTTTCTTTGGAGTACTGGGCAGAGAAATAATATTGTGGCGTTGGTGGAAGAAACCGCTGCGCATATAGATCAGAACCAAAAAAGTCAACACCATGATAAACTTTAGTTTTAACCGATAACCACTTACCGGTGTTCAAACCATGTGTAATCTGGAAAAGCAGCCGCTTGTGTACGCGCTTCATCACCCACCAAACCGCTCTCCATGAGCGCGCATTGTAAGAGTGTAGCATTCTTCGACTCTTGCAATGTCTTTTCGATGTTGGGTAAAAATTCACGTATGGCACGAAATGCTTTACGACGCTCCGAATTAGGGGCTGTAAACGAGAGCAAAAGCGTTTTGGCGGGTTAGTGCGTTGAGTACTATTTACATGTCTCCCGAAAACTATTTTACATACCAATGTAATGCCGAAACGTTTCCAAATCGGCGATTGTGCTTAGCAAGTCGACGTTACGCATTTTTTGCTCTAGAAAACCATAATCCAAATATATTTGCCGAAAGTAGTGCGTCAATCCAGACTTTTTGAGATGATAACCGATGCAGAGAAAAAAGTAGAAATCATGAACGTCACGTTGGAAAGGCAACACTTCTTTGCGAGCATCTAAATCCTCAACGAAACTGCAAAGCAAAAATTAAGCTGAGTGAAGGTAAATTCAATTTAAAATTCTAATATTTAACATACTGATAGTATTCAAGCAGTTTCTTATGCATATCTACTATTTCTTCGTCTGTTACTACATATCTTTCCTTCATTTTACCATAAATAAATGGTAGCTTAAAGAAGTCACCTGTTTCTAAAATGCACTTTTCTAGAAAACCATGACGATGTAACTTGATCAAATCTTTTTCACAACTGCTCCCAGGCCACAGGGCAACAATTACCTAAAATGTGGGAAAACACAGTTTAATGTTACATATTGCATGTTATAATAGAAAATAATTCTTACCCTTTTTGGCACAAAAATGGCATGCGGGAAGCAACGAAATACCTCAGAAAATGCCTTTCTTAAATCCGGCTCTAAGCTCTCGAGGCTCTTTTCAATCGCGGCATTGAATTTCTCATCAACAAGGCTGCATAAAATGGAAAAATGTTTAAAATAACAATGCATTTGCAATATTACAGAATCATAAATTGTATTGTTAAGCTTTGTTACTATTATCGCTCCTTCTACTCACTCCGATTCTCGCAACTTATCGATCCAACTCTGCCAATTGTTCAAGTTTTGGCGTAAACTCTGCGCAATTAAACTGAGCAAATATGGATGCCCATTGCTATGTGCATATATCAAATCTACATGGCTTTCTTTGAAATTCTGATGTTCCAAATACTTTTCAAAGAGCAGATAAAGTTCTTCGCGTGTAAAACCACGATTCACATTTAATGTGGTGCTTCGCTTTTTTGCAAACGAATCGCTAACTTTTTTACTACGCGTGATAACGAGTAATTTACATGGCAAGTCGAAAGCTTTTAGCGCATGCGTATTCTGTACGTTCACCAAAATGACAAGACACTTCTTATCCAAATGCTTTTTCAGCTCAACGCATACTTCAGCTATCGAATTTTTATAAACCTGCGTATTATTGTTAACTCGATCCAACGAACCATAACTAGCCGGTGAAGGTGAACGCGTCGATTGTGTTAGCAATAATTTTAAATAACGCAACATACGTAGATCTTCCAGCGAGCTTGTACATTGACTCATATCGACCCAGTGGATTTGAAAATTCATAGCGTTTGCGACATCAAAATCGGAGCAAGCATCGATTGCCAGCCACTTCTTGCCACAACCGAAGTCACTAACCAGCACCACACGGCCGGCAGGTGGCATGTCTAGCAGTGCGTTTCGTAATTTTCGGAACTAAGAAAGGTGTAATAAAATATAATTATGCGAAGTTTTTTTTTTTATTCAAAACTCTCTTACCGGCACTGAGCGATGCACATTGTAGTCATCGAATTTCAGATGGACCTTAGAGTGTAAAGAATGTACTAAATCTACATAACGGCTATAGTCGACTTTGTTCACATTCTCAAAATGGTTCACAAGCCAAGAATAGTCGAGCAGCAAAGCATCCATAAATTTAGTTATTTGTGAGGGATCCTTATGTCGCAATACGGCAAATAGGCGTAAAACCTGCTCCTCGCGATGTGCATCTTGAATTTCATGTTGACAACTTTGCTCATCTTGATAAACGCCCTACAGTGGAAGGAGTTTAATTACAATTTTTTTATCAATAGTTTCTTGGACGCTTACTGCCTCTATATATCTTTTTTCATATTCATTAAATATGTCACGAATATACATCTGCACATCCCTTAAATCGAAATCTTTTATAAAATATCCTTTAACAACGTCTAGAGCATGGTGGCTGCTCAATGCCTCTACTTCGCTAGAATTGGTGCTCGGCGAGGTCATAGTGGCTGAAAAAGAAAAAAATGCATAATATTTTAAATAAAATAATTAAAAATCATCGATTTACATTTTACTAAAGCAAGTACAAAAGAATGCTAAAATGTGTAAAGTCTCTAATCAATCGAAAGGAGTACGTATGTATGTATGTTGGTAAATGCTATAGCATTTAATAATTCCAAACCGTTTTAAATAAATTTTGATTAAAAAATACAAAAATACCAATTAAGCTAAAATAAAAAATGCCTACAAGTTTGTCTGTCCACTCTTTGCAGTGTAAGCGATGTGTTGTTGTTTTCCAATGGCAGTGAATTGGGCGGCTGCAGCAGCTCGTTATCCGCCATTCTTGAGTTGCAATTACCGTCGGAATTGGATTGTGATTCCCTGGAATCGTTTCTTGATTGAAGTACTATATTTGCCATCATCTCAAAAAATTTGGTTCCACACGATAACATTTTCAAAAAAATCTATAGAAATTAGTATTCTGTGAATTAGTAAGTTGCATAATAAATTTGTGTATGTAAATGCATATGCCAAGAAGATGTGGATGCAGTCATATACATATGTATGTACATACGTAGGTATGTAGGTATGTATGTCTTTTTAAAGAAGCCTTTGAATAACACTCTAACGCACAAGGATTTCTCAGGATCTTTATTGAAAGTAATCTTTATACTAGTTAATGTTGAGAACTCTTCAGTAGGATGTATGTATGTATTGCATATATTTTACAACTAAAACTTGAAGAATTAACTATGAAAAAATTGCAGCGTTATATTGATTAAATGGACAGTGGTCAAGGAGGACAAGTGAAAAACATACAAACATTTAAAGATTAGCCAATACTATCCACAAGTAGCACGCTATAGTACGCCGTATTTCACAAACAGAAACTCGTCATTTTACAATGTTTTAAGTAGCAGCCAGGTTCAATTAGAAATATTTCTTAAAGAAAACCTACAGCTGCGTGCAGTTAATTAGAAACGAGGTTGTGCATAGTAGGTTACGTAAATATTTTATTTCCGAACTAAAACATTTACAAAGTTTATTTTAATAAACACTACGATATTACGCAAAAAAGAAAATAAAACTTAAAATTAAAAATCCACATTTGTTTAGTAAAAAAAATCACCAATATTCATATATAGCAAAATCAGTAGTGCAGCTAATTAGAAACATTGTAACAAAATATTATAATTGTTGTTTAATTCCATAAACGCGTCAATATTTTGTTGCGAAACCGTTATTCTGAATTACGGCTTGCAATCTGCGTGGCATTGAACTAATGTAAGCCTCACCAACGCTTTTAGGAATAGCATGACTCCAAGGTCCTTTCATACAGTTCCTTAAAATTTCCGATTTTATGAGCTGCGATTTTCTTTTTTACATGTTGCCATTCTCTATGGGGTTTAAGTTCGGGCTGCATGAAGGCCAATCCAACATGTTTATATAATTTTGAGACAACCACTGTTTTGTTGCACCAGCCGTATGCTTCGGATCACTATCCTGTTGGAAAATCCATGTCACAGGCAAATTTTCCTCAGCATACGGTAGGAGAACGTTGTTTAAGATGGAAATGTATTGGAATTTGTCCATTATGCCATCAATCGGGTGTAAAGGCCCAACGCCGCGCCATGACATACACCCCCAAAACATTTTTCTACCACCACCATGCTTAACAGTAGGGCGGGTGTATCTGGGATAGTAAGCACAATTTTTTGGGCGACGTACATACGTTTTTCCATCAGCTGAGATTCTATTTACTTTGGTCTCGTCCGAAAACAACACTCTTTTCCATTCTTTAACCGTCCAATTGCTGTATTTTATGGCGAACTCCAAGCGTCTTCTCCGATTTCTCTCAGTTATAAGGGGCTTCTTCCGCGAAACTCGGCCAAATAACCCAGCCTCCCTTAATCTTCGTTTTATTGTATCTTTGGAAGGTCTGTTCTCATTTTCACCAAATACGGATGCTCTTATTTCATTTGCTGTTTTTTGCGGAAATTTTTTAGATTCTCTTATTATGAGGCTGTCTTCGTGAGCGATTGTTTTTCTGGGTCTACGCTTTCGTGGAACATTCATAAATGTGGAATATCTTTTGAAATGATGAACAGCATTAAAAACTATCTTTTTGGATATGGGCAAATCCTAGCATTGCGGACGTTATGTTTGGACGTTTCTTTTAACTTTTTTGCAGACAAAGACATTATAAGTTAACAATTTTTTGTGGTTTAAGGGAGGGTTTATAGGAGTACTTATGAGAACAAAATAATGGAAATTTGAATTTGTGTTAATGTCGGTGTATTTGCCTTCGAAATTTATGTTCGGACGTTACTTAAAAAGGAAGCGATTTTGATATGACCATCAAAGTCAACCGATTTGCGCAAATTGTCATGCATGAAGAGCACGATCTACAAAAATACTTTGAAGAGAAAATAGTAAAGTTTACAAAAAGTGATATAAAAGCAAACTAAAGGTTGGATTAACTTTAAAACAATTGTATATGTGCGTTCGGGACGTTACGTTACGGACGTTACTCTTTTTTCCGTTGAAAAAAGTGATTTTTTTTAAAGCGATATTGTTGTATTTTATTAAAAGATAAAGTGTTTAAACCAATGCTATTTAGAGCTCTGTTTCAAAAAGTAAGAGTGGCAAATCAGATTTCTCAAATAAATCTGAAAAGAAATATGAAATAAGAATATGTTGTACTATGCCTTTTTTGACACAAAAATGAGAGAATTCGAATTGCATGCATTTTTTGCGATTTTGGTTGACTATTTCTCGGATTCGCCCATATGTATAAACTGTTTGCAATGGACGCTTATGATTTTCCGTCATTGTGCATGTGTACGATAATTTTTGGGTATTTTCGTCTCAACTCTTATTCTTTCCCCATGTTTTCTTTTAGAGGATGATAGATGGATATTAGATAAATAACAATATATCAAACAATATGGTTTACCGTTTAAAATATTCAAATAATATAAAATAATATCCGCGTTTCTAGTTACATGCACGAGCACGCCTGACGCGAACTAAGAAAAAACTAGCCAAGTAACGTTAGGGTTGCCAGATTCTGAAACGGAGAAAGGAGTACATTTCTCTTTTCGATAGAAAAAAGGCAGTACGAAACTTAAAAAAGGAGTACAATTTTTGTTTTAATTTTTTTGTGCAATTTATTGTTACAAATTACCATTATTTAGGTACAAACAAACACGGATATCTTAGAAATCTTTTTCAAAGAAACAATAAATGGTAAAAATTAATAACTAAATTCTACAAATGAATTCCAGGCTATTCCTGAATGTATGGCAATTTTTTTAATTTACAATCTAAAATGTTTCTGATTTTCATACCCGAGCGCCCTGCACCTACCTGCCTACGACCATGCTTACACCTTTTAACTATCACACTTAACTTTACTTACTAAGTAGTGTTTGCCACAATATGAATGGTAAGTACAGGGCGTAAAATAATAACTGTCCATTATTTCCATTTGCCAGCTTTGGGAGATAAGTACCTGCTTTTTTCAGATGTATTTTTTCTTAGATTTTGTATAAAAAAAGAAAGAAAACTGTATAGGTATAGGGTTGGTCGAATGAATGGCCTTCTAGTCACCAGTTCCGAGTCTTTTCGATTGCTGAATATGAGGCCTTATGTTGGACAAAAGACGAAGTATAAAGGAGCCAAATGGAGGAAATTAGCCTATGGTTACAGAAGANCTCACCAACGCTTTTAGGAATAGCATGACTCCAAGGTCCTTTCATACAGTTCCTTAAAATTTCCGATTTTATGAGCTGCGATTTTCTTTTTTACATGTTGCCATTCTCTATGGGGTTTAAGTTCGGGCTGCATGAAGGCCAATCCAACATGTTTATATAATTTTGAGACAACCACTGTTTTGTTGCACCAGCCGTATGCTTCGGATCACTATCCTGTTGGAAAATCCATGTCACAGGCAAATTTTCCTCAGCATACGGTAGGAGAACGTTGTTTAAGATGGAAATGTATTGGAATTTGTCCATTATGCCATCAATCGGGTGTAAAGGCCCAACGCCGCGCCATGACATACACCCCCAAAACATTTTTCTACCACCACCATGCTTAACAGTAGGGCGGGTGTATCTGGGATAGTAAGCANTGCCGCTTGAGCTTTTCTCTCCAAGTGTTTACCGTTGGTAAACGCAAATGAAGGTTAAAATTTAAAAACTTATTAATAACATTTAAGTAAAATCTGTGGATAATTAACAATAAACTACTTTTTTCGCAAAATCTATAAAGTCCCTTTTATTTTTCAATAAAACCTGTGCAACAGTTTTTATTATACGCCCTGTATATGATAAAATATTAATAGCTGGAAAAAGGAGTACAAAAGAAGTACAAAACTAAGAAAGAAGTACATTTCCAGATATTTTTTTTTGGGGGTACAAGGGAGTACATTACAATAAAAAGGAGTACGTTTACTTCCAAAAGCAGTACGTCTGGCAACCCTACGTAACGTTGTAATTCAAGTAAACTGCAAAACAATTTCTATGAATCTTCTCGCATGTATTTCAAGCGTTTTGGCATTTAAAAATCAAAGCCTACTAGAAAGTTCACGGATTTATTCAAATATATGAAGTGCTGACAACCTCGTTTCTAATTAAGTGCACGCAGCTGTATGTAAATGTTTGAAGTCATTAAACTTTAATGATTAATCATATAACTAGCGATTTTCCCTACCAACCTTCAGCTTATTAAGAACTTGTTAGGTTTGAATATCTAAATAATTACATATATGTTTAATTTCCTTGATTCTTCAAATAATACCAACAAAACCCCCAATTAGCTCGTCTATCTTATCCACTGGTAAATGAGTAAATGAATACGCACAAAAAATATTTTCAATTAACCTTAAGTACTGACTGTAATCATATTTTTAATTGTTCATCACAAAAAGAGGATAAAGTGTGAACGTTAACAAAAATTCCAACACATTTGAGGACGGCCAATTAGATCTACATTTCGTCACCTGAAATGCAAAAAAGACGTAACAACATCGCAATTGAAATGGAAAAAGTCGTGACTTATATACGTAAATTTTTTTCATAAAATGATGTGGAGTTGTAATTCGATAAAATCCATCATATACATACATAATGTGACCAACTATTTCATAGCTCAAAGAAGTACAGGTTAAGTTGTGTTAAGTTAACGTCGCGAGCCGATTCGATTCCTGCGAGCTCAGTGTTTGTTCAGAAGTGCGAGACAAAATGCTTCCATCTTAGCCTCACGAAGGTTGGACATTTTAAAAGAAAGTGTGGAGATGATTCCACTTCATTTACCTCTTGACAGCTGATAAAAAAGGATCAGCTGAAATTCCCAGTCTCCCCGCATGAGTACCAATTGCCTGTCAGAACCTCCCTCACTAGCCCTTGAGAGGTAACGTGTTTTAAAGTGGCCTATAAAAATATTTGCTGCAGCAGAGAAACGTCTTCTTTTCCTTTTTTATGTCACAAAAGAACCCGGTTTTCCTTAGCCCAATAGCAGTTCATGCTGCGACAATTCTGTCTGCAACATCCGCAGGCGCCGTGTTCGACATATGAATGTTAAGCGCCAGTATAGGTGTGGTTCCTAATGATCCACTAATTCCTATTTTACAAGTGTAGCTTTCTCTAGTGAGTTCCACCAGATAAGGGCTCCTTGAAACAATATAGGCTTAAATCTGGTTTCGTAGAGCTATTGAATTAATTTGGGCGAGAGGCCTCACCTTTTACCGATAGCTGCCCTACAGTAGTACCAGGCAACCGACACCTTTCTTACCCTTTCCCCAAGGTTAGGCTCCCACGACAGCCGCCGCTGATCGCCCACCTAGTTATCTGGTTCAGGTAACCTTGAGCCAGATCAAAAAGGGTGTCTAGAAAACGTCTCCTAAACAAAAGTTGCACATCATCAACATAGGCGATCACCCGACAGCCCACTTTTTCCAGTTTCTCTAGAAGGTCGTTTACAACCGCAATCCAGAGCAGGAGAGAGAGAACACCACCTTGTGGAGTGCTCGTATTGTAGGGCTGCCATAATCCTGAACCCATCGACCCCATCCAAGTAAAAAACGAAGAAAAGTGCGATAGCGATCCGAAAATTGTCGCCAACTAGTTACAAATTCTCCCTCCTGAAGTACAAAGTAACGCAAAGAAGTACATTTGACTGTACTTCGAAGTACGAAGTAGAAGAGCGAAAAAAGAAGTACTGTACTTCCGAAAGAAGTACGGTTGGTCACATTATACAAACATATGTATGTACATCAAAAGGTGAAATTTTAATTTTTTATTATTTATGACTTTTTGTATTTCAGCGATGACGCTTTTTACTCTTTTTTTGCATTTCAGGTGACGATATGTATGTATTTCTATTTTCTACGACATGCACCAGCGCACAGGGTTGTTTTGCCTGTAAATTCCTAAACGTTAAATTGAAACAACCTCGACCCCTAATTGCAATTTTATCGTTAGCGACATATTATCGAAATCAATTTTTTTGTTGCAAATATGTTTAAAATACTAGTTCCAACGTCCTACAAAATCACAGACTTTGAATATTTACCGTTGCAAAAAGCAAAATGAATTTGATCGTTTGCTTTGTTTACACTTTTGAGTTCCTACAATTTAATCGTAAGCGACACTGTGCGATACTTTAGTGTAAATAGCAATTGGATCTGTAATTTTAACTAAAGTTCCATCGGCAATTGCTACAACTGAAAGCTTCAAAATCAGCTTATTTCGCTTATCAAAATTAAGTGCAATCTGTCATTATACAATTACAGCTGCAAATAACCAAGTGCAACGTTGCTCGTCTAGCGGGGCCTTTTTTGAATCTCTTGCTGTGCCAATAGGTTATACGATTTAAAACCGTGGTGCACACGAGTGTCTCCGGGAGCTACTCGGATTTAACATACAAGTCGTGTGTGTGCAGCTAGCGAACTGTTGCGACGCTAGCAGCGAATTAGTTGCGCCTTTGCTAATGTACGCATACTAAAAGCTTAAACAGACGGCAGCGTTGATCCGGACTAACTCGGACTTAATCCGGATCAACTGTAGTTAATTCCCGAGTTGATCCGGATCAACGCAGCCGTCTGTTTATGCTTTTAGTATGCGAACACTACTGATTTAAAAGCATATCAGAAAGATGAAAAACAGACACCTAACGGGACTTATATTATATATGTAAGCATTGGTATAGAAAAAATTTCAAACGATACATTAAATTAGTTCTGAATCTCCTAACCGAACAAGTTCCATGACATTTATAGGTCCCGCTTTCTTACTGTAGCAAAAACAATCATTTTCTTTTCTTAAATCAATGTCAAATGCTCCAAACCGCGAAGTGCGATTCGAAAGCGAATTAAGATCTTGCCTTTTCTCAAGCCTAAAAAAAATTGTTTGCAATACTTGATTCGGCTTTTTAATTACATTTTTTTAAAATTGCATAAAGTTTTCAAACCTATAAGCAGAAAATGAATCCAAAGGANAATTTTCTTTTCTTAAATCAATGTCAAATGCTCCAAACCGCGAAGTGCGATTCGAAAGCGAATTAAGATCCTGCCTTTTATCAAGCCTAAAAAAAATTTTTTGCTATACTTGATTCGGCTTTTTAATTACATTTTTTTTAAATTGCATAAAGTTTTCAAACCTATAAGCAGAAAATGAATCCAAAGGACCCAGACTTTTAACGCATTCAAGCAAGTGAAGTAAGCCATGATTGTTGAAACTAACTAATTCTTCTCCAAATATCCTACTGAACTCTGCGACAAAGTGTTCCAGCATTTTTTGAGCAATATCGGCCTCCGACCTGAACGATTTTTCACTTGAAAGAAGGCGAATACTACTATGCAAAAGCAAGAAAAGGTAGTACAACTCTCTACTAACGCAATCCTTCAAAATAAAAACGCCGGTGTATAGCAAGAACTGCCTGAACTCCGTTGCTTTCCAATGACTAACTTCGACAGAATTCTGATGGAAAAACCTGGAAACGAAACGAATATTTGCATTCATCTTTATGGTATTTGCATTTTTGATGAACAGTTTAAGACATTTTTTGACGACACCTAAATCAACCAAATGCATAGAGTCAAGAGGAAACTGAGAAACCATTCCAAAGCCAGCGTCTTCTAACACGCTTTTCTGATGCCTAAATTGAACAAGGTGGTGAGAAGCGTAAACTCTTTGCTCAGAAGATGAATCCGACCTAAGTTCACCAATTTCTTTGGGAAAACATAATATTCTCTCTTTATATTTGCCTTCGAGGCAACATTTAGGGCATCCGCTTTTTCCATTAAATGACATAACACCACAAGCAAACGCCCTAGCCGGAGAATTACAAATGAACACCCGAACATCAAACTTTAATACGATCTCATTGTGACCCACTTTGATACCATTTTCCCTAAGGTATTTTGCTTCTGATGAAAAATTTGCCATGAAATCATTGATATCTTCAGGTTTCTACAGGTGTTACACTACGAAAATCTACAAGTGCCCCAGGATAGGCCATAAAACTCGATTAGAACTATTAAATAGTTTGACACCATCGACACCTACATCAATTAAGACTTCTTCTCGCGCCTCTAAAAATCCGAATACATCTGAAATAAAATTATCTTGAATACGTAAGTATAGAAATTCGCCATTTGGAATGGACTGAATATTAATTTTTTCCCGAGACTTTTAGCGGACAAAGGCAAGTCATTCATTCCAACTTTTCAAAGGGTTTTAAGAAAATCGTCAAGGGCGCTTTGAGAAATTTTATTTCTAATCGCCCAAGACTTCAATCCCTAATTCGCATTCAACTGCTCGAAATTTTCATTCGGCACTTCACTGCTAGAAAAGGATCACTTTCACCAAGAAAAACTTCACTCGACATACAGTCTTCCATATTTTCTGTTTCACCAGAAGCCGCAGCCTCACTTTGCACATTTTCTTGAGAGGATTGCTCAAGCTCTTTAAATTTTTTTATATTAGCTTCGAAAAGCCTTTTTTCTTTTGATAAGCCATTGCTTAAATGCCTCTTCTTCATTTTGTCTTCAAATTCTTTTATATTAAATTAACTTTCCTTTTATTAGAACTGTATTTCGCAAATTCCACGTCTGTCGTTCTTAATTTTTCCGCGCTTTTAGACGGCTACCTTTTCTTCTTTTTAATTCTTCTCTTCTTTTTAGCGAAAAGCGTGAGAAGACAAAGAGAAGAAATAATGAAAGGGCAAAATAATGTACCAAATCAGTTTGACTGCTTACTCTTGTGGCACATATCTGTTTCAGAAAAAAAGATTAAAGCAGATTGCGGATGTGTTAGTATGTGTCAAAACTTTTGCAAATGCATTGGAGTTTCCATCAGTCGCGTCTTGCAAAGCTTCTACAACTGAATGCTTCAAAATCAGCTTATTTCCCTTATCAAAATTAAGTGCAATCTGCTATCATACATGCGCAATTGCGCCTTTGCTAGTGCACGCATACTAAGACAAAAATATTGCGCTGGCATTGGTAGCTCTGTCGACGAAATGAAAAACAGACACAGCGTTGCCACAGACAAATTTTTTTTCCTACCAAAATTTCATACCATAACCAACCGAAACCTACCAAACATTTTTTTGAGTTTTCAATGAAAAATTTTTTAAAAATATAGTTAACATAACATTTAGTAAAACTAAAATACGAGTATAATAAAAACAAATTACGTAACTGCGTATAACGATTCATTTTATGGTACAGACTTATCCATATGTACATACATATGTCTCTTTACAAACAGGTGTCTTTCGGGGTTCCTGCTCGAAAGAGTTATGCATATCATTGATTGTCTTATTCCCTTTGACTTCCGCCAGTAGGCAGCAATTTGAGATTATTCCCAGCTAGCTCCTAAGTAGGTCTGCAATGTATCCTTTAGATGTACCGCAGAAAGGCTAGGGACCATGCAAACGCATTTGGGCTCCACGCTTTGTGAAACTATCAGCCCTTTTGTTGCCTTCAAACCCTTCATGTCCATGAACCCTCCACAGCGTGACGCTATTGTGGGCTCGCAGGTGGTTCAAGAGTTTACAAGCCTTGATGCCGTTTTAAAAGACTCTAAGGCCTTTAACGCGGCCTGAATGTCCGACCTAATATTTATTCTGGCCTCATTTGCCTTCTACGATGACATTCGCGAACTCAGACTTCGATTGGGAAGACCTCCGCCTGAAATATGGTTTAGTACGAGCCCATTGGCAGACTTTTCTGGAATCTTGGTCCAAGTACGCCATAAATTATATCGCTACCTAAAGGTGAAAAGATGCCAAATCAATTTTTTTTCAAAGTTTAGTTTTTGATGCAGAATGACAGGTAATACGAAACTACATCGAGTTTTCGTCTCTCCTGAAGAATTCCAAAAAATGGACTTGGCACCTTTTCACCCTTAAGTAACGATATATGGATGTTCGTATTGCATATTGACAATAATAGGGTATACGTTTTTAATTAGGAATTAGGTATATTTACATGTTTGTGGCCGCCATTATACGAACGCANATCAATTTTTTTTCAAAGTTTAGTTTTTGATGCAGAATGACAGGTAATACGAAACTACATCGAGTTTTCGTCTCTCCTGAAGAATTCCAAAAAATGGACTTGGCACCTTTTCACCCTTAAGTAACGATATATGGATGTTCGTATTGCATATTGACAATAATAGGGTATACGTTTTTAATTAGGAATTAGGTATATTTACATGTTTGTGGCCGCCATTATACGAACGCACCGGTGAAATATTTGTTTAAAAAAGGTTGCTAAAATGTTTGGAGATACGCACATATTTTCTATTTTTCGCAAATAATTATTACTCATTGTCCCGAAACCTACCAAAATCCAATCAAGCCTACCATCCTACCAAATGGAAAAAAAACCTACCGGTTTTGGTAGGCTCATGTTTGGCAACACTGAACAGACACCTAACGGGACTTATATTATATATTATATATGTATGCATTGGTATAGAAAAAATTTCTACTGAACTCGAATTGGCATCTTAACCCCAACTTATACGGCCATATGGATTCACACTTGCAAAATTATTATTATTGCCGCTTATCTCTTTTCAAATTGCTTATAAGAATTTGATTTCTCCTGTTACTTATCATAACTTATGCACTTCAGCCTTCTTTTTATAAAATTCTGATTTGATTTTAATTTCTATATGAAAAGTTTTCGTTAGAAATTTTTTTCTCCAATGCCTACATAGATTTAAAACACACGACGAGTCGAGAAATATAACAGCTGATTTCGAAACTTGCAAAAAATCTCCATAATATGAAGATTTTTGCACTGAATCTATTCTGGTCGAGGATTAAATTTTACTTTTTTTCATTCTCTAAAAAAAACCTCAAAAAGTACCAAATAGTAGCGGCCAATCTGGTTGTTGTTGTTGTTGTTTTAGCGGCTACAACAACCCCGCCCAGAGCCATGATTCAATAATACAAGGTTAGATCATTATTGACAGCTGCGGTTTGACACTCCCTTACAAAAGGTTGCATTTACGAAGGACAGAGAAAGGGCAAGAATGCAATCCCTTGTTGCGAAAATGGTAGTAGAAAAGTACGCAAAGTAGGCAATTAGTAGTGAAATTCCTTTTGTAAATTCTAATGTATTTGCAGGAAATCTGGCATTTTAAACGAAATGTTGGATGTAATATTGATTTATCTACGTGAATTACGTAATTTATATGCTATTTAGCTGTATAAAAACTGCAAAATGACTCAAAATTAAAATAAGACTACTATGAGATTGATGTAAATATCCAATGCTTATCTTTTTATCAGTTAAATATGCTTCATATGCATATACAAATAAACATATTGCACAAAATCGTATACTTTTATTTCACACCAAAGCTACACTGTTTCCATGTAAATTTGCAAAGAAGAAACACGGTGCCACTGCTAAGGGAGCGGTGCGAGAGAGACAACTGTCAGTTTATCGAACCTTGTATTATTGAATCATGCCCAGAGCGGTTAGACCCTCAATCGTTGTCGTCAAGCTCAACTAGCGGTAGCCCCAGGAAGCGTGCAGCCTCGTTGGGGTATGTCCATTGGGACGGCGGTGGGCTAGTATCTCAGTCATTGTCAAGCTTAACTAACGGAAGACCCAAGAAGCGTGCAGCCTCTATAGGACCTGTTCAAAGGGATAAACGCGTTAGCTGTGTGGGGATGTTTCGATTCGTGGGGACATTCATTTGGCACATCTGCATCTAGTCTGCTTAGGTATGAGTTCAATCTACTGCAGTAGCCAGAGCACAGTTGGGCTATTGTGGTCCGAGTCTCTCAAGGCAGACGAAGTTCCGTCTCGTCCACGTCAGGTGATCGTGTGCCCAGAACAGCATTTACAGATCTGGAGTTTACGTAACTTGAGACTGACTCCCTGTGAATGCCGCTCAGGCCCGACCACCGTTTGAGTATCTGTGGGAGCGAAGAGGCCTCTATGTCTTCTAACAGCGTATAGTGGCTGACGGTATCAAACGCTTTTGAATATAATAGTTCTCTCCCAGGGGCGGTTGCGGTTTAGGTCACGTGTCATCTGAGTGTTAATGGCTGATGCCTCGCTGGGGTCAGCTGGTTCCAAAAATGCGGGAGTAGCAAGGCCTCTAGTAAAGAGTATTATCAGGCGATAAGACTCTCCTTTGTTGGCTAGTTTCCCCTGTTTTAGCATTGGGACCACTCTCCTCATCTTCCAGATGTCTGGAATGACGGAGAGCAGCTATTGACAGGTTGAGAACCTTAGCTAAATAGTCTACTCCCGCAAAACCCAATTTTTTCAGCATCAACATGCATATTCCGGCGGTTCCCATGGCTTTGGACGCTTTCGCCTTCCCAATGGCTACCTGAACTTCCCGCAAGTGAAAACAAGACGCGCACTTGTTGTTGGCAGTTTGTGCAGCCTTCTGGTCACTCGACGTTTGGCTTTGTCCGCAGGAGGATGCAGTGTAAATTGCCGGCTAAAATAGCTCGCTCATCGCTCCGGATCCGACGAAGCGAGGTCGCCGCAAGATATTTCGACTCTGTCGTCGCGCTTTGTCGGATTGGACAGTGATCTCACGGTTTACCAAAGCTTACTCACACCAGAGGTGATGTTACAGGTCTTCAGATGCTCTTCCCACTTCTTCCGCATATGTACGTTTCCTAGTTGCCGAATCTCCGCGTTGAGATCCCTGATACGGGGATTGCTGGGATCGGCCTGACGAAGGCTGTCGTGGTTGTGGTATGGTCTATTGTGTTGTGTTGTGGTGCTGTGGTGTTTGTGTTGAGCTGCTCAGGCGGACTGAGGTTTGTCATGGAGGCAGCTCTGTTTGAGCAACGGAGGGCCACAAATGATGTGGTCCACTTTCGATGAGTCCGTAGGCCTGAGCAGACTCTGAGGTACTCCACCCATTGCAAGCATTGCACTTGACTGAGGCGGAGTTGTGGTGTAGTCGTCTCTGGCATACACAGCAGGTTAAGTTTCTGGACCAGGGTTTGACTCGATGACAGCCCTGAGCAGAAGGATACGTAGCAGATGTAGTCCTATGGACGAACAACGTCCGAGATATTGCACCGACTTAAACCGAGTTAGATCGCCGAAACAACAGACCTTGGTCGGGTAAAACTCGATTCATTCCGGTGCGTAGAACCGGCTGCCGCGGTCGTTTTAGTTTGGTAGAAAATTGAATTTATAATCTAGGGGTAGGGGTAGGGGTGCGTTACGCTGCGATTGTGTGCTTAATGGTCGTTAACTGCGCGCTCTGCCCGTGTACATATTCGCATTCGCAAAATATTCGTATCATTTGATGCGAATGCAAATGTCGATGCGAATATGCTAAATGATGCGAATCATTCGTATAACGATGCGAATGAGAATATCCGGAACATCCCTGATCTACATACACTGTCGGCAAAAAGTATTTGCACTGCAAATTTTTCATATTGCAAAAATATCTGAAAAAACTATTTTCCTAATATTTTTAAGCCAATTTTACCACGCTTTTATCAACTTGCAATGTTGTGTGTCCAGAAACTTTCAATGTTGTGGATCCAGAAACTTTCAATGTTGTGTGTCCGACACCATAAAACCTTTGCTTTGAAAAGTTCCTATAAAAAAGCATAGTGCATAGGGCGACATCTGTAGTGAATAGGGC